AAGACACTGCAATGGTCATAAGTGTGAAAAATAGTCATAGGTCATGTTTTTCAGTGCCATGGTAACTTCAAACAGCCACTAAATGAATTGATGTAAGTTGAGGACTATCTGTATATGCATATTAATTTTATTTTTTAGTTAGCCTAATAAATTCAAAGTGGAAAACACAAGCACAGGGGGCATCTGTCATGGGCTGGGAGTGGGAGGTTGTTCCTAGCCTCAGAAAATAATGAGTGGCCTGTAAAAGGAATAGACTAAGCAGAAAATGCAAATTTGTCCATAATGTAAAGTAATTATTGCTCATATAACAGATAATAATGAAACATGTATATGAATGTTCCGTATTATCCAGCACTTTCAATCTCTTCTACCTTGCTTAGCCTCAATTGCACTATTGATGTTTGGCTACGTAAATGCTGAAATGCTTTGCTGATTAGACATTAGCAGCCCATCACGGCAGCTGAAAATCACAATTTAAAAAACTACCTATACTGTTATCATTCTTTATTATTCTCAGCAAGCAGCATTTATTTTGAGCTGAAAGGATCTTCATGTGTCCTCTGCCATACTTAAACCAACCACCCACATCTGGTTCTTGTTATGAAGTGATAAACTTATTTCAGAGTGCTGGAAAATCTGGAATGGTATAATAATTGGGAACAAGTACATTTCTCATGAAAGCAGAACAGCTAGAAAGCAACAGGTCTCAAACACTCATGTTGCAAAGAAGGGAAACACAACATACCTTATTAGCACAGTACTATTGAAGAACAAATCTTAGCTATATTTTCAAGAAAACAATAAAAAAGCAATGCATTCTGTGCAAAGTGAAGAAAATTGGGTCTTAAAGAAGTTTAAATAATATTTTTTTTCAACAAATCATTGCATGATTCTGTCTTTTCAGGTGTTATGAGGCCCTTTAGCAAGAAAGCCTTAATTACTGATTGCTGAATATAACCTTCTGTTTCTTACACCTTCACTTTGTTTTCTTTACATAACCTCATTATTTCTAAATAAATAATAACATGTTGTTAGTATTCAGACTATTTTGTCAGTGTTTGTACTCTCTGAAAAGACAAGTGCACACATAACAAGAGCAGCAGCACAGCCAAATCACCAGTGTGATTTGATTGGAGTGTGGGCCAGCAGATATCTGATTATGGTATTTCCTGGTGCCAGTCCTGCAATAAATTAAATAAAATCAGATTTGTATCTAAACAAGAGTCTAGCCTGTTATCTAAAGTTAGGGAAAAGAGGCGGTGGCATTACATTCACAATTTATGCCTGTGATATTCCTTCATTATAATGCCCAATAACACCTACATGATTGAAGACATTTGAGCAGACAAGATATGTCCCGAAGCTCCACATTTCATATGCATGTCATCCTGTTCATAGACTTTTTCCTACATCATCTTGAATGCTGCTGGGCCAGAACATGATCATTGAGCATGAAATAGGCATGATTTTGTACTCCATTTCATGCATATTCAGACAAGATTCTCCCAATATCTGTTTTTTTTAAAACTTAATGTATCTATATGTGACTTGAAAAATAAAGTTGAAAGAAAAGATAAGGAATCAACATAACAATGTCACATATCATCTGAAAAAAAATTGTCTTGGTTCATTGTCTTGGTTTTATTTTTATCCTGCCTTTATTATTTTTATAAATAATTCAAGGTGGTGAACATACCTAATACTTCTTCCTGCTCCTATTTTCACCACCACAACCCTGTGAGGTGGGTTGGGATGAAAGAGTGTTTGGCCTACAGTCACCCAGCTGGTTTTCATGCCTAAAATGGGACTAAAGTAAACAGTGGAAAATGCGGAGACAGAAACAGCAAGATCAAAGTTATAACTTTTTCTAAGAATACCTGAGGCTGCAGCTTGCATGGGAGAAAAATAAGCCAAGGAATAAAGACAAGATATGATAATAGGTGTTTTCCTGCATTGTGAAGAAAGAGCGAGTCAGATAAGTTCTTGAACTGCACAAGTCAGAGTCAAAAGAGAAAGAAAACTGACTTCAGGAAAAAAAAATGAACACACTGAGAATATCAATTTAATGAATATGAGGCTTCTTAGGCAGAGAGATGCAGAGAAAGTATCTGAGACAAGGAAAGGAAATTCAGATGGTCCCCAACTTCCAACCATTTATTTGGTGACCATTTGAAGTTACAATTTTAAGTTACGATGGCACTGAAAATTGTAACTTATGATAGTTTTTCCCACATAAGACCACTGCAGCACGCCATGGTCATGTGATCCAAATTCAGACGCTTGGCAATGGGCTCATATTTATGATGATTGCCGTGTTCTGGGGTCATGTGATCACCTTTTGTAACCGTCTGACAAGCAAGCATCTGGAAGCATCTGGAAGCCAGATTCACTTAGCAACTGTGTTACTAACTTAACAACTGCAGTGACAATTGTAGCAAGAAAGCTTATAAATGGGGCAAAACTGACAACATCTGTCTCATTAGCAACAGAAATTTACCTTAATTCAGGTGGTAAGATGAGGACTACCTCTATAATAAAATTCAGGGTTTTCTGTTGTCTTGTTGTAAAGACGAGGCAGTCGAGTTGTTTGATCATGAACAACTGAATCATGATGATCTTTATTGGAGTCTAGTCTTGCATTTATACACATTTTTAATTATCCTCCATCATTGGTTAACTTTGGTTACTGCTTAACTTTCGTTACTGTTTAGCATAGTAATTAACACAATTAATTATCTCTAGTTAAAGTCTAACATATGTTTACTTCCTCTCTCTAATCCTCCTTTAGATTAGTGACCTGAGTTTGTTTGCTTGGAAACATTCTTTATCCAAGGTTTGCCATCCGAGATTGGAACATTCCTGCAATTACAACTCTACAGTCTGTATATCAATTACAGATATCTAGTGGTCAATAGATGAATAAATGAATACATGCAAAAAGCGGATGGATTCAATGTTGAATTACAACACAGAAACCCTGCTGTCCTATTTTCATTAGCATCCCTAGATTTATGAGACAGAGTCTAGTCAGTCAGCTCCTTCTTGTCAGATAAAAGGAGCAAAAAAACTATCGGGTGGTTTAAAAATGAAACATCTTTGCTAACCAATTGAAATGGAATAATGTTCTTATTTTGTGTGTGTTCAATTTATCTTTTCCACTTACCCTAGACCACAAATAGAGGCATCCAACCCTAGGAACAGAAGTGCTGTGGCAAAGGCCCTCCTGGCCATGACCGCCACCTGCTCTTTGAGCAGGACTTGTGAGTCCAGGAAAACCCCTAGATCATGCACAGTGTCTGTTTGGGGCAGTTCTACCCCATCCAAGACCACTTCTCTCTGAGCCAATGAACCCCAAACCCAGAGCCACTTGGTCTTGCAAGGGTTTAGTTTCAAACCGTTGCTCCCCATCCAGCCCCTAACAGCCTCCAGGCACTGCGAGAGGGAGGACACAGCAATGCTTAACTCACCACAGGCTGAGATATACAGCCGAGTATCATCAGCATACTGGTGATACCTCAGTCCATTGTGATGGATGATCTCACCCAGAGGCTTCATATAAATGTTGAACAGGAGTGGAGAGAGTATTGAGCCCTGCTGAACCCCGTAAAGCAGTGGATAAGGGCTGGATCTCTCCCCTATCAACACTGACTGAGAGCGGCCACAGAGGAAGGAAGTGAACCAGGACAGCACAAGGCCTCCCACTCCCATCCCCTGAAGCCACCCCAGGAGAATCCCATGGTCAATGGTATCAAAAGCCGCAGAGAGGTCAAGTAGAGCAAGGATGGATGCACTACCGCCATCCCGCTCCCACCAGAGATCATCCAAAAGTGCAACCAATGCTGTTTCTGTCCCAAATCCAGGCTTGAATCCTGACTGGTAAGAATCGATATAATCCGTTTCATCCAGAAACCTCTGGAGCAGGTGCGCGACCACCTTCCCAACAACCTTCCCCAAAAAGGGAAGATTGGAGGCAGGTAGGAAATTATCCAACCGGGTGGAGTCCAGCGATGGTTTCTTAAGAAGAGGGCAGACAACAGCTTCTTTAAAGTGCTGGGGCACCGTCCCCTCCATATGTTAAATGAATCATTGCAGTTGTTAAATTAGTAAAAGTTAAGTGAATCTAGTTTCCCCATTGACTTTGCTTGTCAGAAGGTTGCAAGAACCTTGGGTCATAAATGTGAGTCAGTTGTTAAGCATCCAAATGTAAATTTGAGGATGCCACAACAGTCATAAGCATGAAAGAGGTCATGCCATTCTTTTCAGTGCATTGTTAACTTTGAATGGTCACTAAGTGAACTGTTGAGGACTACCGGTAGCATTGGAGTTGGGATATGTAGGAATAAAATAGGAATGAATCTATAAGACACCTGTATCCTTCTTCTACTTGCATGCATTATTTGGAGATAATATAATGGTTATTTCCCAGTGTAGATAAGCCAAGGTCTGAACTCAAGTAGTCTCTTGTAAGGAAACAAATGAGGCCAGCTGCTCTTTGTCAAGTTCCTCTAATTGGGGAAAGAAATGGAAAACTAGAAAGCCAGCCTCGCCTCTTTAACTATGCCCTCCCCCCAAAAACAAACAAACAAACAAACAAACAAACAAACTGCAGTGGTTATGAACTGCTTATGCATGCACGTATGAACGCAGGCCGGCTTTTTTTCCCCCTTTCAGCTCAGAAAATGTAGCCCCTCGCGGCCATACAGCTGGGCTAGGTTGCCGCGTCCCTCTCGGAGAGCGCCTTGCTTCCCTTCACCTGGGCCGAGTCTCTGGAAGTGAACCGTGAAGAGAGCAATTCTTTCCCCTTCCCTCCCTCCCCTTCGCCAGGCTACTAGGCAGCCAGCAGCAGCCAGGCACCGGTCGCCAGTTGTCACATTACATTCATTTGCAGCGTGTGCACGGGAGCGCAGCGCCCAGACAGGAGGAGAGGAGGAGCGCGCGCGGGGGCGCGCTCGTTCGTTCTCTCTCTCCGTTTTCTCTCAGGAGCCGTTCTCCCTCCACCCCCTCCCTTTTCGGCTTTTCCCAACTCCGCAAGTTGGGAGGCGCGCAAACCGCTTGCACCTGCTCCTTTCCTCCACTTTCTCCACCCAACTTTCCTATAGGGTCGGCTTCTCCGAACATGAAGGGTTACAAACGCAGCGGCGAAGCTAGCAGCCGAGTCGGGGTTTCTGGGATGAGGCGTGGATAAGCGTCTGAGGCGAAGCGGAGGCTGTCTCCCTCTCCCCCCCCTCCCCCGGTGAAAAGGGCGCCAAACCCTTCCGCCAACCTGTCTCCCAACAGGTAAGTGCCAGCTCTTATTGGTCTCGGTCTCCCCGAGGGCTGGGTTCGCTCGGTTTACGGGCGCGGGAAACAGACTGTTACTTGTTTCCTCGACGGTGAGCTTTAAAGTTGGGGGGCGGGGGGGCGGGGAAGACTAGACTTTGTTTTGACGTGGAGCTTGCGAGCGCGGACCGCGTTTGCTTGCCCGTTGGGCCGGCGATGTGCGGAGGACGGCGTCGAGGGGTTTCCGCCCTCCCAAAATGGCCAGCGGTTCTGGGACAAGCTGGAAGGGCGAGCCAGCCCTGAGCCTCGGGAACTGCATGTGGGAACGGGCTGTACCATTCTATCGCATTCTACCCGGTCGCCGCCCCTTCGGACTGCGCGGATGAAAAACGAAAGAAAACCACTTCGGGACTTAAAAGCGGCGGTGGTTCCGGGCACAGTTAATCGGCGGTGTCATTCCAATTCGTCCGATTCGGTTCCGAGTTATGCCTGCCTAGGATTGGAGCGCAGAGCGAATTGGCTTGGATGCAAGTGAAGCCTGGTCGATTTCCATCAGCAGATGGATGGAATGTTCGACGGAATGTTTATTATTATTTCAGCCTCAAAGAGTTTTAATGTATAAGTACATTATTGTAGGACTCTGCTGATAAGAATAATGAAAAGGCAATATGAAATATGTAATTTTCCCACCTGAACAAATATCCTGCCTTCGATATCAGAAATAAACTCTACCTTTCTTTGTAAAGAGGGTCCAACTGGGTTTAAGGTAATGAACAACGAAAATTTCAGACAGATAAGATGATATACATTTTATAAATATATGAATACATCTTTCCTGAATATTAACAAAGACTGAAATATGAAATTTGAGTGAGGAAAAACTTCCCTCTGGTGTTCCTACTGACCTTCTAAACCAGTTTTTAATCATTTCCTTGTATTTGGAAACAAGTAATTTACTGTAGTTTTAAATAAGATAACAGTGCAATAGGCCATATTTTAAAAGTACATAGCACACAGTACATAGCACTTATATATTCATAGTAAAAAAATTCAAGAGTTAAGTGGCATTTCTGAAAGAGGAGTTCTACTCCTATTTTAAAAGCTATGTGATTTTTCAGTGTAAAACATTTAACTAATAAAGAACTGGGTATATTCCTCTCTTAGGTTGTGAGGAAGTGATACCTGTTTCTGCTTGATTATCTGTTCAAGGGACATATTTTCTCTCAAGAATACTCCCAATATGATTTCCACCAGTTTCTTACCTGTGCATTGTTAACATTTGGGGACAAGTAGAAATTCCAGTAGAACAAATGTAATGTAGTTCAGGAGTATGTCTATGAAGATTCTCAGTCATCCAGGTAGAGTTGTCTGGAAGTTGAGTCATGGCAGCTGAACTTTTTTTTCTTTTTGGCTTGAAACATTTTGTTGCTTATCCAAGTTAGCTTCTTCAGTCTCCATGAGCTTCAAGAGTAAACCCTAGAATCTTTGGTGCTCTCTGAGCTTTGTTTGCTTGCAGATGTTTTATTACCAAAATAGGTAGCATCAGTGTGAGTGTGGAGTTTGTTCCCTACTAATATATAGCAGCTTGCCCTGCTACTATTGGATGGGGTGTAGTTTTCTCTATGGTAATTCTTTTATTAGGATATTGTTTTCTGTTTGTTGGTATTAATCCCTGCTTATCTGAGTGTTGGCTGCTGGAGAGGATGTGTTCTGGTTATTTGTGTTATTATTATCTCACCCTCTTTTTTACATTATAAGTAAGTCAAGGCAAAACATACATAATACACCTTCCTGTTTTTCCCACAATCCTGTGAAGTGGGTTGGGCTAAGAGAAAATGACTGGCCCAAAGGCAGCTGGCTTTAATGCCTAAGACGAGACTAGAACTCACAGTCTCCTGGTTTTTATGCCAGCACTTCGACCTCTACACCGAACTAGTTTTTTCTTCTTAACTTTTTTATCATCTCTTTCTCAATGTTGTGTCAATGTGGTTTATTCGTATCTAGGCTAATGGTTGATATTAATTTTAATTTTGAATGTAGAAATTCAACAGTTTTTGGAACAGAGCAGATGTTGTTGGAGGACAGTGCGCCTCTTTGTGATATATCAATCATTCAGGCACCTTGTCAAGAAACAAGGCTATGCTAAGCTATCTTGCTATGTCAACACTAGATTGTAGAAAAGAGATAACTTTTTCAGAGATATGTAAGTATGAAGAAAAAAGACCCAAACATTTTCTCTAGATGATCCTTGCCTTGGATCAAGCACAGTGTTCATCATAGCGGAATGTTGGAATTGCTTGTTCAAACTGTGGCAGTTTTACAATATGGAAATATAGTTTGGGAGTTGATACGTCTTTTTGTATTTGTGCATCTTCATTCAGGTATACATAGTACAAAGAGACAAGAATAATTTTGCATAGTCCTTCAAATTCTATCATCTGAGTGCCTGGCCAGAGGCAATTCTCTGAAGAGTAAAATTTCTTAATATTTTCAGGTCACAGTGCTCCATTAATTGCATATATTAATGCTGTTATTATTCTCATTAACTAGTAGCTAAATCCATATTTCAGACAACAGAGATTTTAGGTGTGAGGATGTTTTAATGACTACTAAGTAGGAACATCATGTACATCTTGCATAGTATCTACTCCATAGATAGCTCACTTGCTCTTTCACATTTGTGTCAGGCACATCAAGGTGCTTCCGAGTTGAAAGGATTAGCTGGTGGCATCACCATTGCCTGGGGACATGTTGGTTGAAGGCTCCTTTCATGTCCCCATTAATGTGCTCACCAAAGTGGTACCTATTTATCTACTCAGGTTTGCGTGTTTTTGAACTGCTAGGTGGGCAGGAGCTGGAGCAAATGATGGGAGCTCACTCTATCACACAGCAGCCCACGGATCTTGAACACTCAGCCTTGCTGATTGTCACCCAACATTCTAGCCACATAAGCTACTGCAGTTCCTCATAGACAGCTCGTCCATGATTAAAACAAAATTGGAAATGACTTTTTTCATAATATTGATTATTGGTAACATCTTTAATTATACAAAAAATAATATGTACTCGATTGAAGATCATGTTAATGTTGGTGATTCATAGTTCTGTTCTCAGTATCATGCATTCATGGGTATGTATTGAAAATTGGGCTAATACTGAACTGAAATGTCTACCAAGATTCAATAAAAGAATTGTGAATCCTAATTAATTAGTAACTCTTTGACTTGATAACCTCATTCACATGAGCTGCTACATAGAATACTTTGCCATTTCCTTTTTCCAGGAACTATTTATTTATTGGCCTGCTCCTAAGATTTTTTTTTTGGATGACTTTCAATCCAAAAACTAAACAGGTGAATCCTTAATTTTCCTTTTTTGAGACCAGCCAAGATTAGTTAGGTGTTGGTGCTATCATCTGAGCTTTGGGGTTAACCACTACATGAACACTGAGTTTTGCTAATATGTTAAAACAAGCTGTGTAACAATGGGATAAATCTTGATGCAGAAACTCTTAAACAGTTTAAAGCATCCTAGAACTTTTTTTTTGCCATATAGCCCATACAAATTTGAATTGTGCCTATTTCCTTTGACCAGTTTAGATGTGAAACTAGAGGAAAAGCTGGATTGCCTGATTTCCTGGATAGAGAAGAGATACAGTTTCTCTTCTTGTGCAACATATTGTCTTTTCTCCACCAAAACATGTTTATTTAGGGAGGAAAATTGATACACAAGTGTATATTATGTTTAGCTTGGAATAGATTTGTACTACATTATTGAATCTGTAAATTATCAGTCTTATGTAGTAGCTCTAACGAAGACACAAATGCTTATCTGTCTACAAGTGAGAATGACGAAAAATTCTTACAACTTAGTTATTTGGAGAACTTAATCCATCTCATATTTTCCAATGTTATATTTTATTTTCATACATTTCATCAAAGATTGTATAATTGTAATAAAAATCAAACTGAAACAGCATATTCCATTTGTCAGCAGCAAGAACAAAGTTAAGCTTTTCAAATGACAGGGCCACAGTTCATAAAGAGATATTGAAATTCAGTGTGGGAAAAACTTTCAAAATTACCAAGAAAAAAAAAAGAATCAAAACAAAGGCATCTCTCCTAGAAAGGGAATGCTATGAAATACAGAACACTTTGTAATCTTAAGATATTTCAACTGTATGTTTGTGGGTTTTTTTTTCATACAATGTCTCTAGAGTCACCTTTGGCAAGATAGACAGCATACAAGCTTGATAATCAATGTGAAAAAGCCCCATTTAATTAAATCTCAGCAGACACTAAGATTTCCCTATGACTTGTGGTCTGCTTTTGATGCAGGGAGCTCATAGTAAAATTATCGGGGGATGGACATCCTTTCTTTTTGGGTCTATTTTCTTTGTCATTATAAAGGGATGAAGTATTCATTTCAAGTGTCCTTGTGGTAGTTTCCAACCCATAAGAATATAATTCTAAAGGATGTAAAATTCTATCAGGGAACTTTCCAGAACAAAATATGTGGGGGAAAAAAAACATCTATCTAAAATGAAATCATGGTAGCATGTGTAAACATCCTGAAAATTAACTCACATTCTGCCCAGGTTTTGGAAAACAGGGATTGTGTTAATGTTTTTAAATTTGAATCCCCCCCACCAATGGAGGAATTCAAACTGGGATTTTTGAGATGTCACATCCATGATCTTGCAACCACTTTTCAACCTCTGTGTTGTCTTTTGTAAAGATAAGTCAGATCTTTAAAAAGTACCTATCAGTAGTACCCAATGTTGACTGTACTGATTTGATGGAGCTAGATAAAAAGTAAGATTATGCACATTTCTTGATGCCCAATCTCCCACCTGCTAATAAGCAAAGCCTTTGCAGTAGTGCAAAATATGAGTGTCATAGAGTTTGAGATGATAAAATGGACTGCACAGCCTGGGCTGTGTTTGAGGAAGTTATGCATTTAATTAGCCCATCCATTACTAAATTTCATATAGAAATAGAACATAAAAAGATGAGAAT